TTCTGTTTGGTTTGGCTGCCCACTCTCTCTTAGAACATATTTATTCCCTCACCTTGAGACTAAGGATTGGATGGAGAAATGGTTCCTTGAGGATGAAGTGCATTCAAGGGAAATCCAGCCCATAATCAGCTTAGCATTGGTGATTATTTGGCAAATCTAGAAGGCCCGAAACAAGTCAATTTCACACATGATAGTTGAAGCCCATACATTTATTGACCCCCATGCTATCCAGAAATGGCAAAAGCCCATACATTTCTTGAGGGCCTTAAGATGGCTCATGAGCTTCAGATTTCACACACGATAGTTGAAGGTGATGCAAAGGCTATTTTTGAGCTTCTATTGGTGGCTAATTCTGAACCACCATGGCGCATTTGATCTTTGATTGCTGACTACAGAAGCTTTATAAGCATCCACAACAACTGTGTGATTAGTTACAAGCCTAGGAATTGTAATTCAGTGGCTCATAAGATAGCCAATTATGCCACTTCTTGTATTCGACCAGTTTCTGAAGGGATGAAAGATCCATCGTATAGACGCCCAAATCTTGTGGAATAAAGGGGCGAATTTCAAAAATTTTTCTCTCCCTTTCAAATGGGAATCGCATTCCCTATTTAGAAAATCATATTTTCAATTATCAATCTTGAACCATAAACTGAACCAGATCTGAACCAAAAGGAGTAGGAGAAGATTATACTTGATACGGAGAAAAAGTATCTCCCAATGAAGGTGTTCACGCCCAAAGAAGGATCCAAAGACTGCTCCCATTGAAGATGGCGCAGTGCAGGATGGAACAGAATCAATAATATTATTCTCCAAGAATTCTATCATTCGCAAGAAACAGCAGGATGGCACGTGAGCACAGCTTCCTATCAATTCTTTCTCAAAGAATTGATGTCAAGATCGAATCTTGACTTCTTCCACAACTGGAGATCGAACTGAATGTCTAGCGGCTGTAGGAAGGATATTTTGCAGGGATTACAGAAATCTTTCTTTTCTGATTTCAGCTCTGAAGAGGATCTGATTATGTGATTGCTCTTAAGGCTGCCGCCCCCTCCTTTCTTTTGTAACCCCAAAAGATTAGCTCCTAATCCAATTAGGAGCTGCTGATCTAAATCATATTTGGATCAGACATCTCTTTAGGTGATAAGGATAAACCCTTATCTTTATTTGCAAATTAGATCAGCCTTGTCCTAATCTTATTAGGAGGTTTCTAGATCTGGATATGATTCAGATCTGGACTCTCTGAGTGGATGGGGTTAAGACCCTTATCCTATCTACTGATCCATATCAGAATTCGCCCATATTTAACTTATTAAAATAGTTCAGTTCGAAATGGGCTTTAGGCCCATTAAGCTTATATTCTCACCTAACCTTCCTAATTGCTGCCTAGTTGGACTTCCTTGTATGGCGTGGGACCCAAGCATTGATCTACATATCAGCCACATGGGTTCGGCTCAGCCTTTGTTACAAGGCCTGGCTGAATACACTGTTATGGACAATGCACCCCCTGAAACCCATCAAATGGGCTATATGGGCCCAACACTTACCATAAGTGGTCCCTGGGCCAAGCCACCTTATAACACTCAGGGACTGTGTGCAGATACAAGATTAACCCATCAAGTATTATCCTCAATGGTCTTACACTTAACCTTTCAACCCATAATGATCATACACTGCCCGACAAGAGATGACATCTCCCTCGGCTGTAAGGAACAGTGTTGCACTCTCTATTTATATGGATCCCGAGAATTAAAAACTTTTGCAAACATTTTAGAAATCATAATATATATATTTTTATATCTCGTATAAAATATACTTTACAAAACAAATCTCAACGATTGAAATCGACTACCGGCAGTCTTGGTTTCCATCAGTGAGAGTGCATCCCCAATCATTACCTTTGTCCAACAAAGGGGCTGATCCTGTCACAATGATCACCCACTCATATGAATTCTCAGACTGTCCCAACATACCCAAGTTTTGACCCCCGCTAAGGATCTCACTAATTGGTACATCAAAGACAGCCCAATCCAACACCCAGTATAGTATTATAATCTAGTCTAGGGGTCGGATGTAACTTTCCAATTTTGCCCATTAATCTCCAAGGTCCAGGGCAATACTGGAAATCTGGTCCAATTCAACGATTCAATTAATCCTACACTGTATGTGCCTAGGGTTTCACCCTGACAGCTGAGATAGGCCACCCCAACCGACTTGGTGGCACAACAGTGTTAGCCTTATCAGGATAGGTCTCCCTATACTAACCCATTGGCTGTGAACATTCTAAACTAACTCGAGTCTCATTAAGTGTCCAGTTTAAGGGGTATTACACAGAAACATACAAAGGGAACATGAATCAAATATGCACTTTTATTCATTTACAATAAACTCATAAAGTACATCATTCTGATTGAAGTTAAGGGCATACAAAACTGTCCAATAGTTTCTTGGTCCATTCCCCCAGATTTCATTGTCAACCAATTGGGGTGAGCTTATAGTTTCTATTGATGTTTTAACGAATCTTATCCTTTAAGCTTCTAAAAAAAAGCCGGTATAATAAAAGAGATGACCAATCAAGTGATATTAAATAAAGTACAGAGGTGCTTTTATTGGTCAAAGCTCTTAAGGTTATGGTTCAATGTATCAATACATCATTTTGTATTGGAAAGTGTATCAATATTTTAAATCATACACATTTTATATGTATTATTTAATAAAAAACTTGGATTCCTAAAAACACCTGTAAACAGATGTACCGAGCATCCAAAGATACAATATATAATGTATCATATCAATACTTTGAACCTTTGCTTCCCATACCTTATCTTTCCAGTATCATAGATTATCCCATAATGAAATGTCTTAATAGTAACTAGTAAATACTAAAATATTTCATACTTTACAAGGGAATCATGGGCAAGGTGCTTGTGAGATCTGCTTCTATTATTATCATAGAGAGCCTTCAATTACGCAGTTTTGATCCCACACCTCTGTTTGAAAGATACTAAATGACCATCTGAGTAATTGAGCCATCGGCAAATGAAGACTTCTTTTTTGGTAAGCATAATAGATGAGGATTGTGAGTAGGGGTGTCAATTGGACTAGATTTAGTTCAATCCGATCCAATCCAATGTGAGTCCATTGACACATATATTCTTATCTTATATCAATGGACCAAATATTGACTTAATCCAACCCAATCCAATATAAATTTGTTATGAACGGATAAGGTCCAATCCAATCTAATAAGTATTTTGAACCGGATTGGTCCAATCCAATGTCTTGTTGGTCTGTACAAATGGAGTCCAATCCAAAACCAGTCCATAGACATTCTTAATTGTGAGGTCGAAGTTCTCGCTCGGCTTGAATCATGGGCCAAATTCTCTGTTGCCCATAACTGGTCCATTTAAGATAGGCACAGGCCCTAAGTCTGTTTTGGCCCATTTGTACTACTGCTCATGGTCATGGTCATGTATGTCTGGTGTAGGGCTGTAAACAAATCCAATGGGGACGTAAGGTAGGTTCAAATTTTGATTCATTGATATTCATAATTCATATTAGTCGGATGTTTATTGGATTTGAATAGAATTCAAATTACAATTGGATATCGGATGGTGTTTACAAATTAAAATAAAAATTATCAAAATATTACTTATTATTAACAAAATGGACAAAAATGACTTCAATATTGTATTATTAAGTATGCACAAAATATATTGAAAATTAAATTTGTTTTTAACATAGTATAGGTTCTAAATTTCTAATATTTGGAGCATGATCAATATACGTACTTGTATTAGCTTCTCAGTATCACCATGGCCTTTTGGTAATTCATTGAAATAAAATTAATAATAAATAGAATAATTATTTTTTTGAAGGCAATAGAATAATTATTTTAATAATTAAATTTTATGAATTTCATATTATGTCTTAGAAATGCTAATATACTTTTTACATTAAGGTCATGTAATTCTTTAAATTATTAATTAAAAATTTAATTTACAATAAATAACATGTTTATTATTTTCAGGAATAAAAACATTATTTATAATCTAAATTAATTTGCATTAGTAATTTTTAAGAAGCTATATAACATATTAACTTCAGATTAATTTGACTTAATTTTTTGGGTAAATTACAAAAACCCCCCTGTACTGTGGGGTCTATGAGAAGAAGACCCCTTGTACTATGACCATGAGACAAAAACTCCCCTTGACCGTTAAGTTAGATGACAGAATGCATTAAATTACCAAAATACCCCACTAAACTTTTTTTATTTTCTTTTTTTGCCCTTTTCTTTTTTTTTCCTCACCCTCACCGTCCTCTCTTTGGCAAGGATGGATACGACCCTTCAGTTCAACACCTCAACATGGAAAACTGTGCCTCCTCTCTCTTATTTTCTCTCCTCAGAAAAACAGAGGAAGACACCGAAAGAGTGAATGACTGCGCCTCCTCTATGAGGTTGGTGTTGGTCTGGGTGTTACTGATTAGCCATAAATATGGCTATGGCCTGCCAATGTACGTATGTGCCATGATTTAACTGGATTTCTTAGGAGCTCTACCGCTCGATACCCAATGCTTAATTGTGTTATTTTTTTCCCTACTTTTTGCTTTATCTACTTTTCTTGTATATTCAATTTCCAAATATAATGTGGAAGTGTTCTTTGATGTATTTTGTCTACTAATCAATGAAACATTGTTGATAAAAAAAATTAAAGTATTAAATCCTCCTTAGTTCCCATCGATGGGATTGAAGACAAAACACAAGAAATCGATGCCAGCTATTTTGTTTCTTCGGTACTCCGATATGACCATGATTCCTTTTCAAAACCTTTTTAACCATCAACACTACGACGGTTATGATGGTGAGAGTGGTTGTAGAGAAAGCTGTTATACGGGGAGTTGCGTTGGTCTTATGAGCCGAATATCAAGGTATGACCCTTGTAACCAAGTGTGCTTAAGATCGGAATCCGATCTGGTGGTTGGTCAAATGGCTGAAGATGACTCCAGTAGCCTCAACGAAGCTGGCTCCAGCTCCAAGGAATCGCATTGCAATTCAAAATAGAATTGAAGAAAACAGCAAAATGATGGAAAGAAGGTCCCAGAATGTAGAGGCCATATGGAAGCGAAAATTGGAGAAACAATATACCTTTCGTTCTCTGTATACGTTTTCGGATTTCCTGAGCGCAGGCTTCGCAATGCATGCGGACCTTCAAAACTACTATAATCACTTGCGGCTGCATAAAACAAACACCAACTTATGTTAAGATGGAATCTTTAGAAGCTAATCAGAGAAATCTGAAGATCTTTCTCTTTACGACCATTTTATGTTAAGATGAACTAACCTCTTCTTTCATCTCCTCTGGTTTAACGTTTTCTTTGTTCTCTTCATCCTTCTTAGGTTCTTCGGCTGGAGGTTTCGGGATCGGAGTAAGCAGCTCCACCTGCCTATGAATCTTTTTCTGAACTCTATCCAACACCTTCAACGGATTTGCCTTTTTCCCCTTAACCACCACCTTATGCGTCCTACAATCGGTGATTATGTGACGGGAAGAACCGAGTTTAAGCATATTCAGATGGAACCAACCACTCCAACAGTTAGATTGGTGGAGCTCGATCTATTACCACCCAGCGGCAGTGGCGGCGACAGTAGTGGTGGTACCAGTATCATCGGTATGCCTTTGTTCATGCCGCACTCGAGGACCAGTTTGAGTTTTCCTTAACCTGAGGTCCCATGGGGATATAGGCCTAAACCATGGAATCCAACGGCTTCATCCTCTTCTTGTTCTCCGATGCTACTACCTGCAACTTATTATGCCTGACAGTTTCAACAACCAACTTTAGACGTTGTTAGTCCGAGCTGATGAAGATAACAGACGAGAGAAGAAGAAACAAAGTATAGGGAAAGGGCAAGAAGAGAGAACGGGGGAGAGAGAGGAGTGAGAGTAAGAGAGAGAAATGCGAAGGAACTAAAGGGTAAGGTCGGGGAATATGAACAGTGTTTTTCTCATTTACTTAATTCAGGGGTAGTAGTAGTATGGGGATTAAAAAAATATTGTAATGGCCTTTTGGACGGAAAGGGGTCTTTGTCTCACGGTCATAGTACAAGGGGGGTCTTTGTCACAGACCCCACAGTACAGGGGGGTCTTTGTAATTTACCCTTTTTTATAATTAACAAAAGCAAACATGATAAAAATATAATAGCTTGTTTAGTAACTAAAGTACAATATATAGAATCTTCTTGCCCAATTGGTCCAGAATATAAAACCAAGATGGCAGCAATGTGAAACCTAAAGATCCTAATTATACCCGATCTTCTTTGATTGCCTAAGCTACTTCCATCTAGGGGTGTCAAATGGACTGAATTTGGTCCAATCTGATCCAGTCCAATGCAAGTCCATTACAAATGGACCAGGTCCAATCCAATCCAATGAATATTTTGGACCATTTTGGACCAGTCAAATTCAATGTCTAGACCGTCCAATCTGTTAAAATTTGTTTTAATTTAGATCAATTCTAATCCAAACCTGGCCTCTTGGCACCTATATTATTATGTTCTATCAATGGACCAGGTATTGGTTCAATCCAACCCAATCCAATATAAATTGATTATGGATGGACCAGATCCAGTCCAATCCAATAAATACTTTGGACCATTAAGTTTGGACTGGTCCAATTCAATATGCCTTGTTGGTCTATCCAATCCATCCAAATTGATTCTGGTTTGGATGGCTCTAAGCCAAAACCGATCCATTGACAACCCCTACTTCCATCAAAACTGAGCTTAACCTGATGCTCACTAGGAGGTTCAAGAAGATGAATTCTTGCTGATGTAGAGTTAGCCACACAAAGCCAGCCTCTTGATATGTCATTAGTGGAGGAGTCAAAGATTGGTAGGGTATTCACCCCAATGCACCACCCTTATCATGCAATTTTCTATGAAGCTTCTTTGGTCTTGCATTCCTCCTTGAAGATTTTGGCATTCTTCTCCTCCAAAACGACCTAATGATTGCTGCTCTGATACATTTCCAAAGGAATCTCCCTCTTTAATAGAGGTTGAAAAGGGAGTCTTCATATGAGCAGAATAGAAAGCAGCCCATACTTCCTGGAGGGGCCTACCTACAACCAAAGAGGGAATACAAGCTTTCAAATGCTAGAAACATAGGAATAGGAGATTGGTGACATTCACCACTTGCTATACCTATAGATTTTCATGTTTGAATTGCCTTCCCCTTTGTAATAGTTTAACGTCCAAAGCAAGAAACATGGGCCTCCTTCTCAAGGTTCACAGCAAGAGAAAAAAAGGGAACAAGGAAAACCATAATGCCACTTTATCATTTCACACTTTCTAGATGTTGCACTCTAATCTTCTTTCTAATAGAGCCAATATCAACATCAAATTGAATACATAAAAAAGCAAGGGTGCCATGAGTGCTCTCCTCAGCTGCAAATCTTTTTTTTTTAACTTCCTTTGCTTCTAACAAGTGGCAGTCCCAAAGAAAAGTAGCAAAGAACGAACTTTTATTCTGTCTAGTAACATGCAAGGGAACAAGCAAAGGCCTAGAAAATGAATGCGTAAGGGTGGGAAAATGCTACTTGATCATTTTCTGTCTATATGTGCATGTCTAAAAGGTCATTTTTAGATAAAATTGACATACTCATACTTTTTCCCTTGAAATAGGTCACTGACATGCCTCCAAGTGTATATCTGCAACTAAGTCGGCTCACATTGCTTTGAATCCTGCATAAGGAATAGGAAGAAAAATCCCCGAGTCCCTGACATCTCAACTATATCACCAGGAGCTACCTTATCAATCCATAGAACAGAAAAGGTGAATAAAACGGCATGTTACAATAAAGTGAGCCATCAATAAGGGAGCAAAAAAAAAAAAAAAAAACAAGATGGTAGAGCATTTTCTTTACAAAAAAAAAAAGCAGAGAATTTTGATACCAAGAAACGAGCAAAACAATTAGCTGTTCAATACAAGATCTTAACAATGCCATGTATGAGCAAAATACTTCAATGTAAGCCATATTACTTGAAATTACAATGAAGCTATCGTCTAGATACTTGAGTAGTAGTTAACCAAACAATATAAGAAGGACGTCCTCCCTAAGACTTACTAGAAACACTTTATTTCTGTGGGCATTCTCTTGAGCGGATCGGAACCATCAGCATTCTCCATTCCTTCCTCCGACCTCTGAATCACCAAGATGTCACGATCATCATCCGGAAAGGCTTCGATGGGTTCCGGCATGAACTCATCGATATATCATCAACCAAAATACCAACATATCGACAGGTATTTTCAGTAATTCGTCTAAGAATCTCCCCGTGGTTCAACCGTTCAAGTCCGCATACTCTAGAGAAAAGGTTGTAAAAAAATTAGGGTTTCCTTAGAAGGTATGAGTATGTATACTCCATAGAGAGAGAGAAATCGGCATTGAAGTCGAAAATCATTTTCAGGAAGCAGAGAATTCTCGTAAGTTTCCACTTTCCATTTGCCACTGGACATTTTGGCGGGAATTTCTCGGGGTGTTGATTGATTGGATTTTAAGCATTGGAGGGAAAAAACAAAACAAGTAGGACATGTGGCTGCTGGGATTCGAGCCCAGGTCTCTACGGCCACAACGTAGAATTCTTACCACTAAACTACAGCCACAAGATGTAATGTGAAAAAATAATGTATTTCTTCATTTGTGCTTAAGCTCTATAAAATAATATATCTTTTCTTTTCTTAGTTTTTTTTTCGCTTCAGAATATATCTTTTCTTTTCGAAAATGTATAAAATAATATATCGGATCCGTATTATACGTCTACCCAAATAAAAGGGATGTGACTTGTTTGGCCTAATTCATGTAGTGCACTTTTTTAAGGCTGTGTTTGGTTTGAAGTAAAAGGTCCCTTCATTAAAACCAAACACAGCCTTAGTTGTAAGCAGTCTTATGTTTTGAAGTAAACCATAATTGGGTTTTTATTTGGGCCTATTACCATGGCCATCCCAAATTCTCAGCCATCAATTGGGTTTTTATTTGGCTTATAAGGCATTAAGGCCCCATTTGGGACTGCAATGCACATTGGTAATATGTTCCATGAATGACAAATGAGAATGAAGATATTCCCAATGTACGACGGCAGTGACTTGTTGAAATAGTGTTGGGAGCATTCTATTGGCCCTATATCTCTATCCACCCCTACTAGTCAATAGATATCGTGTGAAGTGCGTGTACTCAATGAGTCGGACTTTTTTATTTTGGGTTCACATTGGCACCCCATAGGTGGTCAGGAGCCCCACATGCACATCTCAGCATGCATTGAGAACATCTTCCATAATTGTCATTGGGAGATGTTCCCAACACACGTTGGGATGTGCTCTTGGGCGCTCGTGGGGTGCGCTCTATGCGGCATAAATGCGAATTCCAATTTTTTTTTTTTTTGAAATGCATGTAACGACAGGCTAAGCTACTATTTATAAGCTTTGTAATGAAAATTTGATTCCAATAATTCCATAGTGTGGCTCATAGTCATTATATAAAGTAGTCATACTAGAGATTCCCCCTCAAACAAATGCAAGCAAGTCTATGCATTTTCATTAGTGATAATTAACATTTTATTGCAATAATACACAAATTCTACATTTTATTGCAAGCAAATGCATTTTTTTCCAAATACCTATGATATTCAGCAAATTCTACATTTTATTGGAAATTTATGCATTTTTCAAAAAAATCTATTCAACTGTTTATGATAACTATTACTAATTTTAAGTGAATAAATAAATTTTCAAAAATATATGTATTTATAAATAAATAATTACTAAAAATATCAAAATAAATTGATATTTTAATTATCCTATACGTTTAATGTTTGGGAAGTTTCCGCCTTTGTTACGACAGTGAAAGGGGAGGTAGGGTGACATGGCCAAAGGCCTGGGTATGGTGAAGGCAAACATGTAGTGGGTTGGATTTGTTGTATTTTATTTTTCATTATTTTAAAATTAAAATTAAATTCAGTTTAAATTAATAATTTTTACTTTTATTAAATTTTAATTTTTTAATAAATTGTTATTAATGCATAATTTAAGTTATGATATTATTTTTAAAAATTTTCAATAATGTAAGATTTTTTTATTATAAATTAAGTATAATATTATTGTAATTAGTTTTAACAATTATTATTAAAATTAAAAAAACATTAACTTATTTTGAATTTTCTATTATGTTAGTCATTTTTAAATTGAAATTAATTTTTTTTTACTTTATAATTATATCAATATTTTTAATTAATTATTAATTTTATTACTTAAGTTTTATTATTTGTCTTATTGTATTATTTATTTTTTCTCTTATGAGCATTTTAGATATTTTTTACTCATCTTATTTCAATGTTTAAGTTTTAACTTAAAGTGTTTTTATAAAAAAAGTTTTGACTTGAATATTAATACTTTACTAGATTGACGAAAAATTAAATGCTTGTATTTAGAAGGTAAAGATAGATAGAGATAGGAACAGATAAGGGTGGGAAAGAGGCATTAGAAGGTTTATAAGATAGGTTAGAAAATGTTTCAAGAAAAAGTTTTAGGTGGAGGTAGTTTTTAAGATAAATATTAAGAGAGGAGATTATTTATATGCATAAAAAAAAGAGAGGAGATTATTTAGGCTATAGGGATTAGACATGTTCATGGGTTGGGTAGCTCGACGTCATGGCTCGGCCATAGTCAGGCTTGGACATATTATTAGGCATGTGGGCTTGAGCCCTATTATCTAAGCCCAACTCAATTTCGGACTGGGTTCGAGATTTCACATAAAAGCCTAGCCCGACACTATTATATATTATAAAAAATATAATAATACACATTATTTTCCTAAATTTCTAAC